AGTATACATCTACAATTATAGCTAATGAGACTGTTAGTGGTCCCAAATAACTCTAACCTAGAGACCTCGAGAGAGAATTAAAAAAGCTGCACAATCTCGATGAAGTCAAGATCATTCCGGTTGTTTTGTTAAGTATGGGGTCGATTCTAAAGAAACTGAGCACTTTTTTCAAGGAGCCCGAACCAATCTATAGAAGAATGCAAAAGTCTGTAGTTCTGGATGCGACAAACATCGTGAGATCATTTATAGAATAGAGACATCCACAAAAGTCTTGCCGTTCAGCCCGCTTGCGCGGAAACACCCAGTGTAAAAGTCTCTGCGCAATAATAATAATAATTATAATAACAATAACAAAGAGCATTTGCGTAGCAAACTTGGATTTGCAATAAAAGGCGTGATTTGAAAACATTATTTTATAATTGAATGATATTCTGGGCCTTAAGAAAGATAGAAATATAAAATTAATGAAAAAAAAAGTTTGGGTATAGGGAATGTTAAATAAAATTGAAATAGCATTAGAAGGAGTAATTAATGAAAGTATAATATACAGAGTGTGTATAAACGCTTCGAACTAACCTTGAGACAAATTACTCAGTATAGAGTATAGAGAGAGATTGAGTATAAAAGTGAGTAAAACGCAATAATATAATATATTTGAAAATAATTATAAATTGTTTCTTTTAGTCCTTCTCAAAAACAAATAATAAATGAGATGTATTACTTTGGCACACTATTTGGACACCCTGTACATATATAGAAAAAAAGAATCGAACCACCTTGAACGATTTGCAATCGATTAATGAAATATCACGCGTAAAGGTGAAAAGTAAAATAAATAATATTTAATGAGAGTTACGCAACTGTTGGGTCACAATTGAAAGAAAAGGGCAAGAAAAAAAATGCACAAGAATATTTTACAAAAATGTTTGGCGGTTTATTTATTTATGTAAATATTGAAGGAGAAAGACTAACCCAATTGTCCATTTGCGGATTAACAAAAATTACAAAAATAACGTCACTAGTTAACTTGGTCCGAACCGGTATACGAGGGTCACTTCAAAAGTTTCCGACCTAACAATGATACAAGACATTTTTTCTTTTTTTTTTCTTCTCTTTGCACATAGTATCCACTTCTGCCAGTGATGTTCCCAGAACGGGTAATGATTTGATATTTTCCATTTTACAATAATACATGTCACAAATTATAATACGAATTAAAACTACAGCTACAAAATATCTTCAGGATAGTCATTTTCTTACAAATTTTAATAAATATAGAACACAAAATGCATAATGTTATTCAGATTTCATACGTTGTTGTGAAGTTGTGAATGGATTTTTTTTTTAATTTTGGTTGTTCAGCTGTAGTTATTAAAATACTAATATTTTATAGTGAGAGTTTAATTTTTCATTGTATAAAGAATATTTTATTTTATTTTTTATTTTGTATGCAAACAAAAATATAAAGTTACACATAGCCATTTAACGGGATTGCCTAAGTTTTTCTTGAAATAAATAATTTTTAAGTTTGATTTTAGATGTGGTGAATATTAAATTTTTCCAGCACCTTTTCGATCTGAGTAATCAATTTGACATGGCAAACAATGAATCTCAACAAGAGATAGTTTGACCCAAACAACAACTTCAGATATAACGTATAATAAAATATTTCCTTCCGGCAATTTTCTTGAAATTTCTTAGGGTCTACTAGTTGTGACAAGAAATAAAAAAAAAACTCGGAAACAAGCTATAAGAAATTAGTATTAATAGAGGATAATTTTTGATGTTATTACATTTTTTACTGCCCGATTGGAATGTTTTCTCGAAATAAGTAACTACAAAATGACAGTTTCATTGGTCATAACATTAATTGAAATTTCAAAATTAAAATGTGTAGATATGCCTATACCAGATAACCTACACTTTTGGTGTAACCGTTTTTCTTAAATAGGTATAATGTTCCAATGAAGGCTTTGCTTATTTTTTTTGTACCGTTTGTTTTATTTATTTTTTTAAACTTGTCCTGGACACATGTAGCCATAGAAAAACATACAGATACAAAAAACACAAAATTCAAAATTGTATAGGTTTATACAACCATCTCATTATAAAATTTCAATACTTCATCAATGACGGTCAGCAAAGTTGCAACGTTTATGGAACTGCAGTAAATGATTAAGTAACACTCTGTATAATATCGAATCGGTAGCTATCGAACGGCAAAACTAAGAACCCGGGTAATCACTTATCTCCGGCGTAAAGCAATTTGCATGAAATTATCAGAAATAAAAAACACTCTCTCAATGTCAACACACTCCCACGCAATTTAGATAATATCAAACCCATAGGTCCACTAGTTTACAGGGCTAGAAAAATTTTGTTAGGGAGAGGACGAATTAAATATCAACATGGTCCGAAATTTCAAATTTTAGTGACCTGAGACCGATTAATATTTTCAAAAGTTATTGAAAAAATAATGAATTACCAGATTAGGGAGCATCGTCTGCAAAATATTTGAGGGAATTGAGATTGATTATTCTAAAGCTTCCGGTAGGTTAAAAAGAGTTTTCGCTTCGAGAGATACGTCTATTACCCAATTATCTTTATTAGGTGCGGTGTTCCGCAGGGTTCGATCCTTGGGCCCCGTGTACTACTACTTAAATCTCATGATAATAAGAAATTGCGCACTGCACAGATATTTGTTGTCAAAGTCAATTAAATAAACAAAGTGGCTAACAATGGAAAGTAGGCGTAATTACAGACTTATTTCATGTTATAATATTTCTTACCCATATATCACTTTGATAGCATCAACTAACCCTTTTTCACAAATCTTTATAGCGTCTATAAGCTGTACAATAGAGTTCTGAATGAATTAAAATACATGAGCTTAAACGTATTCCAAAAACTTTTTCATTTATTGCTTGTTAAGGATCGGTTCAAATTGATACTTACATATCATTTTGAACATTTAAATTAAGTTAAATTTTGTGATATTTTATGTATTACTGTTGCGAAATAAATATTATTATTATATGCCTATGGCCTCGGTCCCTCTGGGTCAGTACTGCACTGTGTTTCAGGCGGAAATTTTCGCTTTATTGATGGCGGCCAGAGAGGTGCTTCGGCTCAACTACGGAAGCAGGAGAGTCTTCTTCTGCTCGGATAGTAGGGCTGCACTCATGGCGCTGAAGTCAGTGCGTACGCGCTTCTTGTTGATAAAGGAGTGCAAAGGGGTACTGAGGAGGGTGGCTGAGGAGAGAAAGGTCACGTTGGTCTGGGTCCCGGGTCACACCGGTGTCCGGGGCAATGAGGCAGCGGACGCCTTAGCCAGGGAGGGCTCCTCGCATAGGCATATAAGGCCAGAGCCCCGCTTGGGGATCGCCCCGTGTGTGAGGCGGGGAGCTCTCGAAGCCTGGGCGAGAGACCGGGCCGTGGGGGGCTGGAGAGTTGCTCCGGGAATGAGGCAGGCGAGGCTTATGATGGATGGGCCCGCCCTTCCTCGGACCAGGGAGCTGCTTAGACTGACCAGGAGGGAGTGTAGAGCACTAACAGGGGCCTACACAGGACATTGCAGGCTTAGGAGGCATCTCTGCTTGCTAGGCATTGGAGACGACCCGGAGTGTAGGTGGTGCATGGAAGGGGAGGAGACCCCGTATCATCTGCTCACCGAGTGCCCTGCCTTGACATGGGCAAGATTGGGAGTCTTCGGAACGGCCCTGATCGATGCACGGTATTGGGCTAAAGGAGTTGCTGACCTTCTACAGGAGGGGCGGCATTCTGGACGCCCTCTAGAGCGGCCTGGGGGCACAACGGGCCCATCTGGTGGCCTAAGTACTTGAACGCCCGCGAGGGCTCCCCCCTTTAATACCAATACCAATACCAATGCCTATGGCCAAACATTCTGGCTAATAATTACAAAGCCGGTAAATGGCAATTCTTTTACGTAATCCTAGATAAGACGACAATTTAAAATGGCCGAGAAAACAATAAACACCGTTTTTCAGTGATGTTTCAAGACCATTTTCCAGCATTTTTGAATTCTGTAAATTCAAAAACCCTCAAATATTGAATTTTATCGTTCCGGCCGGCAGTTTTGGAGATATTTAAGTGTTCCGGTACTTTTTGTTAAGCAGATATACTTTTTGCATTGAGGCAGGTGTCTAAACGTACTAATTCACACACAAAACCATAACTTTTGCGACATGGTACGAGACACGCATTTTTTTCGAAAATTTTTATCGTTCAAATGCACAACGTTGCTTTTCCATTTTTCCCGGGTTCACGATGAACTGGACTGGATCCAAGTCTATTTCCGAGTGCGTCGGGTTACATAGACCAAATTTTGCACGATCTTGGGAAAAAGCACAAAAATTTCAGGAAGAAATTGCTATGTTAAATTAATGTTAAATTAAAACAAATAGTAGGACACAAATATTTCATTGACCGTTGAGAAATAACCTTTACAAAACAAACTACAAATATGGAAATTGCATCAACAATACTGTATTTTCCTTCCTATTCTTATTATTAACTACTCTGCTAAGGGTTTAGTTTTCTAGACGTTTAGATCTTTATTGAAGTATTACCTTTTTACTTTCGAAAAGTCGGGGTCAGGAAGTAATCTAAAAAAATGTGCCTGTGCAGGGGTCTACAAAAACATCATTTTTCAACTCTCATCATAAAACTCTATATCATAAAAACGCAACCGCAGGGATCTCCGATCGTAATGAAACCTTCTATGCCAAACGATGCCTTAAAGTAGGCAACCAAATAAGCCCGCGAGCGTTCGAACCAGTATGAAACCCGGCAAGGTTCTTATATTAGTACGTAAACAATAACGCATACTCGTTGGCTGTAAGGTCGGTACGACTTTGTTAAAATAAGCCAGCAATGAAATAGCAACCGATGCTTTAAAATATCGGTAAAAAATCATTGAATTTTTGTAAAACGACTCGTCGTTCGCTCGGAAAGACATTGACAAATTCACTATCGCTTACTTTGACTGAAAGCCCTCAAATTCTTCCTGCTGCTCGCTAATGGAGGCCTCGAGGTCAAGGTAAGAGCCGTAGTCTCCGTCTTTGTAAAGCTGCAGCGCCGCATCGTCCAACTGAAACAAAACGAGAAACGGTTATATGTCGATGCGGCCATAGACGTGCTTTACGCGGAGGCGAATAAAGAACATACGCATTTTGCGTAAATTGCACATTTTAACGTTATACGTATATCAAATGTCCTGGTATATAATACGACCAAAAATATAGTGCATTTATTGATTTGGCGGTTTTTACAGTACCTTAACCGATGGAACGCAACGAATATTTGTAGAAACTAATATTTTCGAATAAGTAGAGGCGTTTATTTTAACATCAGATGATATGTAAGAATTTATTACTGTGTATTACGGAGGTATTTGACTGTATTTATGTATCTGATTCTAGGGATGTGACCCTGAGAGGCTGTTTTCACTGGATAGTTCAAAGGGTAAGGTTAAGTACCTTTACTCTATTTATCTTACACGTAAGTGTGAAAATAATAATATTGTATGCCTTGGATTTGTAAACAACAACTATAGATTATATCCGCGGTAGATAAAGGTACGTCACAAGAATAATACTTTTGGAGACCGTGGAATGAAGCATATGTTCCCCCGTTACAAGAAGACATGGAAAACAAGGCAAAATTTGAAGACGAAGTTGTAGTCGAACCTAAGGACAATTTAGAAGACGAACTACGATAGCAAATAAAAAACGGCAAACATTTGTCTTCGGATGCTAATTTACAATTTTATAAGAAAATCAGAAGGGGAAGTAGTAGCAGCAATAAAAATTGTTTCAAATGGGATAGTCAAGAGAAAAATGAGCATGTAACATGTACGCCAGAAGTTGATTGTTTTCGTATATTTAATATATATTATATGTTTAAATGCATACACTTTTTTGAAGATATGCATCGAAATGGACAAAAAGTGCAAATGTGCATAAAAAATTATAAATATTAGTGTTATTTTAAATAAAGCCAGAACTATTTCTTTATCATTAAACTGGTTCTCCGGAAATGCTATAATTTTTAACGTACACCACAAAAATATTTGAACAAATATAAATAAAACAAAAAAAATCGTAATAAAAGTTTTTTATTCACAGATACACGCACTGATATCCTATTATCCCAATAAAATTTTATTATAAATTTAAAAAGGCTAATAATCAAATAGACTGGAAATTGACAACGTTACGTATACGTAACCGAAAGATCTGGGCTGGAAACAATCCGACAAGAGATGTGATGATTTTTATAAAAAAGCAAGAAAAAAAATCTAACAATAATTTTATACGTAAATACCAATTTCCAAAATATAAAATGTAAAACATAAAAATTTTAAAGAGAGAAAATATTATTTGCGATTATAAAAAAGAATCATAATATAACATAACATAACATGTTTTTTTCAAAAATTTCCCAAAAGAAAATTGTGCCTTTCGTGTTTAAAAATGGTAAAGTTTCGCTCGACATATACAGAGCTTATAAGACAGTGTTTTGGTTTTGGGATTAAGTGCATTTTTAATTTATAGAAATTCACTTCTCTTTCGAAATTAGTGAAACTGACTATAAAAACTTTTGTTACCTTCAATTAGTGAGACAAATTTGTTTTCTAACCGCAGTGAACTCGCGACAATTCCTTAGTCACGATATATGAAGTTAGTTTCAAAGCACACAAAGAACGTTTCATGTAGACGATATCGAGAATTGCTACCCACTAACCGAGTCCGTTTGCAATATTATTTGACTAGTTTAACAAGGAACCTTTTGCTTTTACTGGCAATTCCCTAGTGCAATACATTTTCTAGTTTCTCCTGTCATTGATTGTAACACTAATTGATCTAAAAAATTGATCAATTGAAGTAAAAAAAAATAGTGTTAGTAACAACTATTAAAATCAACACATAAATCGATCCTCTACTGTTTTTTTTTACAAAAATTATTTCAAAAATTAAGAGAACGCGAAATTGGTAATTTAACATCTGAAATTAGCTTAGAATCGTGCAATCTACGTCGCTTCCTTTACCGGCCACGCTCGAAGCCAACCGAATGATAAACAATTCACTTTCCTGCGGGTTAATAAACAATTCAAGTTCACGGTCGCGTGCAAGCGATATATACCGGCCGTCCACCCATAAAGGATTCACTTGCAAGGAGCTTAACAGGGAGAAATAAATCGCCAAGGGTCCTTCTTGTTCCGCATCCCTTTTGCACCAGCGTCCACCGTCCACAACATCCTCAAAGTCCACCTTTCAAATTAAAAATCGGGGCAAAAGATGTCCACGGATTGGTGGATGCGCCAAAATTTTCACTTCGCATTAATTGTTCTGGAAGTATTTTAAATAAATTTTCGACTAGTTTTGGGTGATTTTGTTACGTAGAACTTTTCAGAAAAAAATGTTCGAAATCACAACATGCCACAAATAGAAAAAATATCGGCGCACGCCGCTGGTGAGGCGAGTATGGACAAATAAAAAAATTATATTTACAATGACACTAACACTTTTTTTCTTACAAATTTAACATCTTGTGTACCTACATGGAAAGAAAGCATTTATATGAAACTGGGGTTTATTTTAATATTTATTTTATCTATCAAGCTATTGCATTATATTCCAGGAAGGCTTGTGATGCAGGTACATCCTGTCTGAAGTGTATTTATCAATATGCGCTAAACATTTTAAAACTAGCAGTTTAATTTGCAAATAAAATTGAATAAAATTGAATACTGAAACAAGTGGTGGTTTCTTACGCCCTTCTTTTAGCCTAGTTGATATTTTGTTGCCTTCTCAAACGGAATTCTATCTTTGAGGGATTGAAGATGTTCAGAAATGTGTGGGCAAGTGGTAATTTTTTTAACATTATACGAGGGTGGGGTAAAAAGTTTCCAGCCTGACGTGACAACGGTTGACGACAGCACACCACCCCAGACAATTAATTAAAACAAATACTATTTTATTTGCAAAAACTTACTGCCTGTTGTTAAGGCTCAAATAACCTGAATATATACTGTGTTGATGTTACAAAACTTGGAGAAGCTCTGCACACGTCGGGTGTATCAGTAGTTTTGCATCCGTTAAGTTTTATGACGGCAAGAGAAGAGAAGAAGGGACAACGCCAGCAAAACCGAAACCGGAAGGTTGCTTAATTATTACTTGGGTGTTCGCATTTTTAACAATCTGTCCAAATACCAGTGCTATTTGCGTCAAACCACATTGCAAAATACTTGTCTATAGCGCTATCTATTGATTTGCACCTGAATCAGTGCTCAAAATTTGACAGTCCCATTACAATATACTTATCGACGTAATAAAGGTTTTGTTTTCATTATATTGGAAGATTTCGTTGCAAAAATAGTACCAAGTCACTTTTTTCATACCATCTGCTCCTCAATCGGAAGTAGACCCCGACTCGGAAACTGATGATGTAGACCAGAATCTTCCATCAGTTGGAGCTTGGTATTGTAACCACAGCGGCACCCATCGATTCAAGCTCGGATAATGATAGTGAAGATGAAATTCTCTTGTCAGACTTCAGAAAAATCTTCCCATCGAATATGGATGTTAAAGGGACTAGAAACATCAACCTCTTCATCATCTCTCAAACAAAAATACGATTTCTCCAAATTAAAGACGACAAGTGATGAAGAAATAAAGGCCTTCCCGGGTATGAATATACGACTATCAAAGACTATTTATTGGTCAACTCATATAGCGAAAATTATGATAGGAAATAACGATTTCCTCTCCGATAAAGTTAGGAAAAGAGGATCAAGATTCCATTTCATAGACGGACAAGAAAGGGATACATCTTCTTTCTTATCTTCACAACCCAGGTGAAACAAAATGTTTTCTAAAATATCACAAAAAATAATTGAATAAATTTGATTTACACAAAGCCCCCCACCGATTACTTCGTGAAAAATAAGGTTTATATTATTATTGTTAATCCATGTATACTCAATGTTGGGATAATAAAAAAAATCGCAAAAGAAAATAAATTTTGGTATTCAAAGGGGTTAAAACCTTGTCAATTTAGAAAACGATTAAAAATATTTTTGATATCCAAAACATTTTAGAGTCTAGACGATTTAATAAATGTTTATATATAAATATATATATATATATATATATATATATATATATATATATATATATATATATATATATATATATATATATATATATATATATATATATATATATATATATATATCTATGTCTATTTACCTACTATTTATTTTATTTTTTTTATTTATTATTATACAAATATAATATTATTAAAAAATTTGCTAAATGTGTGCTTTTGCTTAAATCCATAACTCGATTAATACAAAAAAAATATATTAGAATATTCCTATATAAAAAAAATCACTGTTATATCAAACTTTGAAAGAGTTTGAAGACGATTTTGAAAATTCTTACAGGTTGTCTAAACACTATTACGAGCTGATTTGATATGACCAGTTCCCATCCTGGGCATTATTATTGTCCGAAGTCAACGGTACCCCCCAAGGACGTCCATGTTCGAAAACGTATCGAGAGAAAGCTCTGCAACAATGGTTTTGTTGTACGGAATCGGAGCAGGTGCGTCGTAGCGCGGTTTTATTAACATTAAAAAAAAAGCGTACGCTCTTACGGCCATTGTTGCTCGACAGTCCAAAGAAGCACAACGCAACAATACAGGGTGTTTCCTAATCGAATGTCAATAATTAAGGCGGCGATTTATTGGTCCATTTTAAAAAGAAAACCTAATATGAACATATGTCCTAAATGTCTTAACTTTTGAAATACATTGATGGTACGCCACTGATTTCTTTTAAAATAAAAATTATTTTTACAATCTCCAATCAGTTCTAAAGAAATTTAATATCTCGATTTTTTTCAGTCCAATGAAAAGTTTTCGCTTAGAAAAATAAAAACCAACAATATCGTTACTATGATAGCATGCAGATAAATTAGTTTTTCTTTTTAAATGAAAACCGTGGCTAAAAAAAAATTAAGAGATCAAATCTGGTCATAAATGAATGGAAATGTAACATTTTTAAGAAAATCAGTGGCGTGCCAC